AGACCTCTGCCTGTAGATCATGTCTCAATGAATCTTGGTTATTACAAGCGATGCTTTCGAGAGACAGACGCTTTCAATTTGTAAAAATCTATACAAATTGAAATACCATGGATTGAATCCTGGCTTTATCTAAGCTGATGAGAAAACTATCTTTCTGAAGGAGCCATGTGTTGGATCCCTGTTTTACAGAGATCAGTTCTCCTTTACTTCTCAATGCAGCTTTTTGTGGCACCCATCTCCAGGGTATCTCAAGCTTCTTTTAGATCTGAAATGGGAAGTTAGTCATGAGATCTGTGGTGGTTACAAGCCAGATGTTCTTCTATTTTTTTCGTACTTCGCAAGTGGGAGGACAGAAGGGAGAACCAAACATGTCCATTCTTATGTGAATGTGCCATTTCCTTGTGTGAAGTACTGTCTAGAATTCTGGTTTTATTTACTTTTTCAAAATCCTAGAGACATAAAAGGATTTTTGCATGTTTTTTCCCAATTCTATATGTATTAAAAATGCCCTATGTGTTAACATAGCACAGAAAGATTCTGCGTAGTCAAGAATAAAAAAGCTCTTGCAGCAGTGTGCATAATTATAGGGCTGCTGTTTAGTCATCAGTCACGATATGTGTGAATTTTTTGTGAATTCATCATTTATTCTGTTTCAGATGTAAACAGAATTTACATGAAGAGTTTAGTTTGTTCAGCACAATAGGTCTTGACCCATCTGAATCTATTAAAGGCTATTATAATACTAAGGCTGAAGACTAGCATCCTAATCAGGGACATGTTTACAGGATTCCCTTCAATTTGGGAGAGTGCTTGGAGAACCGGGTCTTGTGGTTGTGCAAAGATATAAATGAGACATCCAGATTTAAATTAAAGAGCTACATTTTTCTGCATTAGTTTTTCTGTCACAATAAGTGCATCTGAAACAATGAACAGAAGAATATACTGACTGCCTACTTGTAATGGGAAAATGGTTTTCTTTTTTGATATATTGCTCATATTGAACTTCTGCTTTCTTTTTTTTTCCTTTTTTCTTTTTTTTTTTTTATATAATCTTCCTCTGTGCTGCTGCAAATCAGCCAGAAGAAATCAGCAGCTCAGTTGTTGATTGCCTGCAAATGAGTTGCCAGCATCCTGCAATTCTGCTGGCTTGAAATACTGTCTCATCTCCTTTACAGTAGTAATGAGAGCTGAGAAGAGCCAAGTGGGGTGGTTCTCCATGAGCAGGAGTGTGGGTGGAATCACTGTGTTTTGTGGCATGCTGCTCTCCATTCTAGAGCTCTGAAAATCCTCCTGCCTCAACCTGTGAGTAATGGAATTTAGAAGAGCAGAAATTGTCTTTTTAGGTTAACGGGTAAAAATCAGGAAATAGTCATGCTTGCACTGGTTCCTTGTATTTATCAGAATCATCTGATACGGCTTCAGATTTCCAAATCCATTTTGCTGACCAGTGGGAGATTCTGAAGTTGTAGCTACTTGTGAAGTAACAGCAATTTACTTACTGTGGATTATATTTTTACTCCTTTCCTATCTCCCCACTCCTTTTGCTTATCTTGGTACAATGCTGTTTATAAGTGGTATTTTGTAAGTGTGCTACAAGGCTTCTGGAGAAGAAAGGAGAAAAGCAAAGCATGCAGTTGGTCCCATGAGTGGATTATCAAATGCATCACGAACTTCTTGATTCAGAATAATTGTTTTATACTTATTCCTTTCTTGACACTCCTTTCATAGAGTATGCTCTTGATTGTGATGAGTCAATTTGTAATGCTGAAACCCTTGGATTTTCCATGGATAAGGATTTTTCTGAAGAATTGCAGTATCTGTTCCTTGAAGTGAGATGTAACTCCTGTGATCATGCTCTCAGTTTCTGAAACTGGTCCAGTCCACTTGGCTCAATACCACTGTGACCTTTTAGATAAGACAAAATGTTATTCCTTGGTGTATGTTTTATGTACACCAACATGGAGTGAAACAAAAAAGAAAAAATGACTGGAGCATGTAGAAACCTGGTAAAAAGCAGAACTTTGAGAACTAAAAAAAATCAATTCTCTGCATGCCTAAATATTACACAGGCATGTGGCTTGGTAAGTCTGTTACAATTGTTTGAAGAAAAAGGAACAAAACCGATCAGTCCCTCAGATGTTAGAAAAAGAGATGCATGTAGAGGAAGATCATATAGTAAAGGACAAAGCAGATGGTAGCAGGAAAGCTTTGTACAGCCTTAGCAAGGAGGTTTAATTTCAATGCATTGCTGAGAATGAATGCCTTTTCTGCTTCTTTGAAGCAACCTTGCTTTCCTTGACTTCTATGAGATTGACTTGATAGTTCCCTATTGTCAGTAAAAGATAAGGTCTGGTTAGCAGTGAAAGACTTCTGCTAAGTTTTCAAGTTATATCATGCTCATACACCATGATTTTTTTTGCTTTCAGGCAGGTGAGGGTCTTGTTTGATGGGTGCGAGTACAGTCACATGGACTGCCTAGGTAGTTTCAAATCCTGTGATGGAATGATAATCACTGCCTTAAGTAGGAGGCTTTTTCTCTTTTACTTCCTTCCCCTGTGTGCTCTAATTAGACTCCAGTAGCTGGCTGTTTGTATCCTCCAGGAAACAAAACAGAAGCTGGGAGTGCTCATTTAACTGAACCCCTTGGTGCGATAAATTGCCTGGCTCCTGGAAAGCACTGACCACTGGCTGCAACAGTGGTCGTCCTAAAACCAGGCTTGTTTGTGGTCTAAATCCATTGCTTTCACTGGAGTTACACAAGGGTTAAATTTAGCTGTCTCAGTAGTCCAAGCAACCCCAGGAGCAAAGTGTACGAATGCCTTTCAGCTTCTTGAGGGCTATTGGTATGCCTGGTGTATGTTTAACTCCAGCCATGCTCGTTGTGAGGGATGCGAGAGCAATAGAAATGTTTAAAGTTCCTTTAACATTATCATGAAATGTTAGCAAGAGCCATGAAAGATGAAGAGGTAAGAGTTTCCAGGAAAATGAGCTAAGCTTTAATCTGCACTTGTGGATGTCACATCCCTGCCAGAGAATCGGCTCCTCTTGTTCAGGAGCTGTAATTGCAGTTGCCCTTCTGAGTGACCTGTCAAGGGAGCCGAGGGATGCAGATGAAACTAAAGCATCATCAGGTCATGGGAGTCAACGCATAGTTTAGAATACAGTGGCAGAAACTCTGTCTCCCCACAAGAGGGAAATGTAATTTCTTGCACCCAGTGGATGGTAGTTCTGGTTTCTCCACAACATGTAAAATCTGGAATAATAATTAGATCCTCAGTTTTGGTGCAGAGGACTTTTTGTAATGTATTTTGGCACCCTGGTCTAGTAATTATACAGAGATGACAGCTGGAATTGATAGTGCAGGCCAAATTTGGGAATAGCAACAGGATGCGTTGCTGCTGTTGATCAAAGGCTACATGGCTGTTTTTATATACTGGTCCTCTCTTAGATCTTTTTTTTTGTATTGATTGAACACAGTAGATAAACAACCGTCTGTGTAGCATGAACATTTATTAGGGCTTTTAAGCTGACTAAGGACAGCTTTGAATTAAATATGGGAGTTTAAATGACAGTTTTCTAGTAAGTGGTGTCTATGAAGACTTGGCTTGCAGTGGCAATACAGTTTCATTTAAGCATGGTAAAAAGAAATCTTAATACAGGCTTTGTTTTCATATTCAAAAAGAAGATAAAATACTGGAAAGTTGATTACAGGAAAGGCAAAGGCTTTTTTGATTTTTCATATCTATGTAGTTAAGTGTGGGCAAAGGCTGCATTTTGTAATATGCAGCTGTGTGCATGGTGCTCTCAACAAACTGCATTGTCTTGTCCTGGGGCTTTCTGAGAGGCTTGTGTAAATTAGTCAAGTGTCCTAAAATGTGGATTCAAATGGAACTGCCAGGTGCAGTCTGGTAGTTCTGCAGTCACTTCCAATGAAATTAATAGAAAACTTTCTGTTGACTTTTCAATGACTTAGAGTGGACCCTGGGGTGTCATTGTTAATGTCTTGGAAAGATCAGGATCGATTTCCTGGCATCCTTTTCATCTCTAAGGAGGCTCTTTGCAATTCTATGGGAGACATAGCAATATTGCTATTCCTCTTCCTTGATAAATCCCTGTATAATTTAAGTTGTTCTACTTGTCATCCAAGGCTTTGTGAATAACAGAGGCAAACTGAAAAATGCTGAATTCTGGGGGAGTTGTTGGTATCTTAATTGCCTGAATTAGTATTTCTGTATAATGCCAGGCTTTCCCCCACTCCCAGGTTATTCTGAATTTTATTCCAGTACTGCTGTTGTTTTTCCTTCCTGATTGTGGGGAGAAGAAAAAAAGAGACTGTTCCTGCAAATGAAAGCAGTCTGCCACACTGCAGTGTGTAGAGCAAGTTGTGTTGCATTTAAAGTAATGCTGTTTCACTGCAGTGTAGTAACACAACCTGCATGTGGATAGCTCTGGGGACCTACACCTTTGGATTTCTGCCTTTTAAAAACCACCTGAAGCCTCTGCAAAATTTACACCAAGCAGGCTTGTGTATCTTGCCATGAAAAGGTTTATTCCACTAAGTTAGCACTGTTGGTGTTTGGTGTTAATAATCTGTTTTGGGAGCATATTTGGGCTGTCCTTGCAACAGGTCAGAATGAAATTATTTCTCTGGCTTTGCTGGGTAATGCACCACATCTCTGAAAGCACAGGATTTTCTTGTGCAAGTAAATGGCTGTGCTTGAAGTACTACTGTCCTTGCACCAGGAATATAAAATCCACCCAAAACCATACAAGGTTTGGAGAGAAGGGAGTATTGGGAAGAGGACCAGGGAGCTCCATTCACAATGCTGACCTTTGAAAAGGGTAATCCTTATGCTCACATTTCTTCTGAAATGTTTAACCTGCCCCACTGGCCACGAGAGGGGATTTAATTTCTCAGCTTATATTGGTCTATTTCTTCAGGTGAAGTGTTGATATGTAGGCTCCTCTGAACTCACTGCCATACTTTCCTTTATTTTCAGGATACTGGGGTTGGGAAATCAAGCATTGTTTGTCGATTTGTCCAGGACCACTTTGACCACAATATTAGCCCTACTATTGGGTAAGTACCACGCATAGTATCTTTTTTCTTCTATATATTTTTTTTAACTCACAGCCCTCTGTTGAGCTCCTTTCTTTTCCTTACTTTCAAGTCTGTGAATACTGTATATCTTTTCCTCCCCAATTTATCAATCTCACTCAACCCTTTACTCTCCTTTAATGGCTTTCAGCTCATACTGTGTGTTTAGAGAGTGTGGGACTGCTCCAAACCAAGTCTGCTCTGCTCTCCCTGCTCTGGGAATACAGAGGGTCCCTCAGCTTACTGGACCATAGTCTTATTATGGAGAGGCTAAAACAGCTCTGCCATTCTCCTCCTGTGAATGGTGTCTCTTGAAATAGCCTCTTTTCCTGAGGCTGTCCAGAGCCATGCGGTCTTGGCTGGTGTTGTGCATGGCCATGACTTCAGGCTGTTCTGTTTTGTTTTTCTTCACCCATCTTACACCAAGAGATTCTTAGATGTCTTACTCAGCTGCTGTCTTTTTTGTCTTGTCAAGAGCTTCCCACTGTAGATTGTATTTTGGTCATAGGACCTTAGGATTAAAGTAATTTTAGCTCCTACTGGTCAATGAGGTATCAAACCTGATCCTGACAGCTTAAAGAACTGAAACCCCACATCCCAAGAGGCTGTGATTTGCACAATGACCAGGGCACCCCATAGAAGGGTAATGGGAAAAAAAACATGGAGAGCCCTTGTTGACAGACATGGGTCTGTGTTGTGTGCCCTGCCAGGGCAGACAGTGTCTTCCCAGGTGTGGACCTGCTTTCATCTAGGTTTGGGATGTATCACGTTATCCCACCTTTCTCAAAATAGGGACAATGCAATTTAAGTATAGTTAGTTCATACCTCTTCTTTAAAAACTGCTGAGCTTCCATGTGTCAGACCATCAGAACCTCATTAATTCTGTGTTCGCTTAAACCGTGACATTCTGTAGTTGGTTTTAATTCCAGATCTTTTTCTTGTAACATCTTGGGGATGAATTTGTCAAGTCCTGTGTTATCTGGAATATTTTGAAAATTGTTGTTCTCTTACAGGAAAGGAAGCTCATATGCAGTGTTTATGAAGGAGTGATTTGGGTGGGAAGGGCTGACCTGGCTTGTGTGTTAGAGCTGTCTTGAGTCATCTGTGAAGGACTGGTATTGATTGCCTTGTGTTGTTTAGAGGATTAGATGACAGCTTTTAAAGCTCTGCCTTTCAATGCATGAAGCGTTTTCAGCTGGAAGTTGCACGTTGAAGTTCCAGGGCAATTTTGTACTCCTCAATGTGATGAATAGAGAAAATGGACAGCGAGAAAGGAAGCAAGTAATGAATAACATTACTGACTAAAGGACACTTGCAGTGAAGGAACTGATGGGAACTTGAATGGTTCTTTACTTCTAAATCACCAGCAGCCTTTTTCCCCAAGTAGTTGTTGTTGCTAAGTAAATGTCTTCTGCTCAAATAGGAAAAATATTTTTCCCTCTGTTATCATAATTATGAAAAGTAAAGGGAATTTTTTTTCCATTTGAAAATGAAAGTGTGAAGGCTGCCTTGCATGTGGGTGATATTACTTGTTTATACAGATAAGGGTTTTACTTTCGTTTTCTTCCAAATTAATAAAATATTTTAAATATACAGTCTACAATATACAATCTACAGTAGCTGCTGCAGCTCTAAAGTTCCTGTTTTTGAAGCTGTAAAGTGTTACTTAATGCTTTGAGGGGAGTGGCAGCTGAAAACATACACCAGAAAACAACCAAAGAAAATGCTGTTGCTTTTTTGGCCTTAATATTTTTATAAGCAGTGCAGTATTGTTAAATTCAAACAATTTTCAGTTGGCTGTAGAGGAGAACTCTGGTATATCATTCTCAGGAAATGTTTTGATCAGTGACACATTGTTTGATATCATTCAGTGCTTTTGTAATAACAGTGCATTGTATCAAATGCATCTTTATGAGCCAGGAAGAAGGTTACCACAACAGAAACTGTTCATCAGTGTCCACACAGGATGGAGGGTGGGAATCTGACAGAGTTTGGGGGTCTCCTGGGCAGCTTTCAAATGAAATGCTGTAATATAGAAAAAGCCTATGAATTTGTAACCTTCTTTCCTAAAAGAACAAAAATCACTGTGAAAGCACAGATAAATCACTTCTCCTACAAAAACCAGAAGCCACAAGGACTTCATTTATCTGAGGTGAGAGGGGGAAGAACTTTTTTCCATTTGTTCACCATATGCATTCCACAAGATGACTTTTCTGTTCCCTGGTGATCCAGTATTCTAGGTTTAACTGAAAAACTGCACATTTTTTTCCTGGTATGGTGCTGGCTGATGCCTTTTTCTTGGGCCCATATCACTGAGAAGATGGAGGTAGCTATTAGAAGAAGTGTGAGCGCAGCAGGAGCATTTGTGTTCCTGGGCCTGTGTACAAATGCCCCCTGAACCTCAGAGGCTTTTTCCTGCTTTTAAGATAGATATGTAGGTATCGTATATTTTATCTGAGAAAAGGGAGACTTTCACTTCCGTAGGAATTTTATCAAGGTTTTGGAGTTTCCTCATATGCGGTCTAACCCATCAGAACTTGCTGTGGTCTGTGCATTGCATATTCAGAATGCTGGTTGTGTTACAGATTTCTGCTGCTTCCTTCTTTTCAGAGCATCCTTCATGACTAAAACAGTGCCTTGTGGGAATGAGCTTCATAAGTTTCTGATCTGGGACACAGCTGGTCAGGAACGGGTGAGTATTGCATTGCTGTATGTCTTTGTTACCCAGGTCTCTTTTAATGTGTTGGCATACTTTATCTAAAACTTTCATCTTCAAAAGACTTTGTAAGTGTAGACCTGAATCTTTGCAAGGCTCTGCAAAGCAGGTGCTCAGCAGTCACCAAGAAATAGGTTCCAGTTTCACAGGTGGGGAAAATGAAGAGGCAAGCTGAATTGTCAGCCAGTTTCCTCAAGACAATTCAGGCAGTGCGCAAGCTACCTCCAGCTCCCCTCTGGTTTCATCAGGTTTATGTGTGTCAGCTTTTGCTGGTGTTAGAAAGCACTTGACTTCCAGCTCATGGGCTGGTGGGTGGTCTGAGCTTAGGTCGTTGATGAGAAGCTCAACATGACCCAGCAGTGTGCGCTTGCAGCCCAGAAAGCCAACCGTATCCTGGGCTGCATCAAAATTAGTGTGACCAGCAGGTCGAAGGAGGTGATCCTGCTCCTCTGCTCTGCTCTCGTGAGACCTTACCTGCAGTGCTGCATCTAGCTCTGGGGACCCCAACACAAGAGGGACAAACACCTGTTGGAGTGAGTACAGAGGAGGCCACAAAGATGATCAGAGGGCTGGAGCACCTCTCCAATGAAGACAGGCTGAGAGAGCTAGGCTTGTTCAGAAGAGAAGGCTCTGGGGAGACCTTGTAACAGCCTTCCAGTACCTAAAAGGGGTCTACAAGAAATATGGAGAGGGACTTTTTACAAAAACATGTAGCTATAGGACAAGGAGGAATGGGTTTAAACTGGAAGAGAGTAAATTCAGATTAGATATTACGTAGAAAATTGTTACTGTGAGAGTGGTGAGACACTGGCATGGGTTGCCCAGAGAAGCTGTGGCTGCTGCATCCCTGGCTGTGTTCAAGGCCAGGTTGGAAGGGGCTTTTAGCAACCTGGTCTAGTGGAAGATGTCCTTGCCCATGGCAGGGGGGTTGGAACTGGATGAGCTTTAAGGACCCTTCTGAACTAAACCATTCTATGACTCCACGGTTGTCCTGAGTTGGGACATTGAATATAAGCACAGGTTGTGTCTGCTGTTAGTATTTTGGAAATTAGTAACCTGAATCACTGTGGGTTTTCATCTTGATTTTTCAAGTGTGTGAAGTGAATTGTTCAAATTAAGTGGCTTTTCATTTGGCTTTTCAAAAAAAAAAAAGCCATAATGGGGCTCATGTGCATTATGTTGACTGTATGTAAGCCTAGTTGGTCTTTTAATAGCCTCAAGCAGTAGTATGCAGAAATATGCTGTAGAACTGTAGAGTTCATTTAAGACATGCCAATATTTATCTTGAGAAGTTTGAAAGATGTGGAAAACCCCATGCACATGTTTTAAAGTATCTTCAGACTTTCTTGTGGAATTGCAGTGTTCTTGTTCATAGAGAAATAACAGCTATGCTCAGGTTGGAGTAAAATGAGGTGGTTATATGGGCTTAATGTCAGTCCTCATACATTCCACTGTATTCTCCATACCTTGTATGTGAATTGCAAGTGATGAAGATTTTGCTCTTAAGTGCAGGAAATGCTTGTGCTTTTATTTACAGTGTGCAGCATGATGTAAAGTAGCCCTGATGAAATCTACTGGCACTTAGCAGTTCAGTATGTTATTTATGATGGGAAAACAGATCTTGAAAAACATATTTGAAGTATAGTATAATGCCTTTCCTTAAATCTTGTTTTTTCCATTTCTTTGCGGTCTGGAGCTGATAACTAATTTGAGCCAGGAAATCTGTGGCTGAGCTCTGACTCTTGGACACAGGGTCCATCCTTCCTATCTAGTCCCTTATGTTTCCTCTGCTTTTTTTTTTAGCTCATATTTTTTCAAACATCTGCCTTTTTTTTGTTTCCTTTTTCTGTGCCCAACAGTGATGAGCAGTGACCACCACAAACCTGGTTAAATTGCTCAGAATGTATTACAGATAAGTTTTATCTTGCAGGTTTTCATGTCTAGTTGTAAATTGTAACCTCTTTAAGCCAGGGACCACTTTTTTCTTCTCTGTACAATGTATTCTCAATCCTTCACTAGGACTTTATGAAACTGGGGTGATAGAGTAAACAAAGTCAATGGGTGTTGAGTGCCAGCTACTGAGACAAGTTTCCCAGGGTGAGGTCCCTACTGTTCCAGGTCATTCTCTGTCTTAGAGCCATCCTCATTTTACAGCTAAACATATGATGCTTCTCAGTACCTTACTCACTTTAATTTGTATCTGGGATTTTGGTTACTTTGTCCTGTGTTGCTCTTTCTCATCTGCTGTTCAGGAACAAATTTTTTCCCCTGTTAACCTCTTTCTCGTAATCTTCCTCACAACAGTGATGAACAAAACCTTCCAGCCTAGCCCAACCTCTGGGCCAATTGCAATACAATACATGTATTCCAAGTGGTGTTTCTGCTCTGCGACTTGTTGTTCTTCCCTTGTTCTCTGCAGTTTTTCTGTGAGGCTTTATGTTCCACTGCTCCGAGTGGTGTTTGAGACTTGTTGTTCTTCCCTTGTTCTTTGCAATTTTTCTGTGAGGCTTTATGTTCCACTGCTGTAGTCTGGAAGTTTCGTCAATGCTGATAGCTGTGTTTAGGACTTCCTGCTTTTTCAACATTGCCTGCCTTTGGCTATGTTCTCCTAAATGCAAGGCCAAGCATAGGGCTTGCGTGTGCTTATTCTGGGGTCAGGGTGCTCTGTGCTTCCCCAGCTGTTGCTGTGTCTACATGCTGATGTGGAGCCTTTACTGCAGAGGAGCCCTGGTTGCGATTTAACTGAAGCCTTATTATGACATTACAGTTAATCTCAAACCTTAAGCATGGTAGAGGAGGCAGGTGGAAATAACAGCAGCAGGTCTTCTGTGCTCCTCGTTCATGAGTTTCACCTTTCTTATGAGTTTTCTCCTCCTTTGTCATGAGTTTCTCTGCACAACAAACTGGGAAACTGCCAGCTTGGAGACTGTAGAGAAACCACTCATCAGTACCTTAGTCACAAGCGCTTATTTAAGCAATGCTCAATGAGAACCAGTGTGCCTGCTGGCTGCCTCCAGTCAGCTGGGAGAAACTGGAAATCCATGTGGCTGCTTCTGAAAAGGAGCTGTATCCTGGGTGCTCAGAGAAGCCAGCTGGAAGCACTCAGCACCCCCTTGAGGCGTTGAATCAACTTTCAGATAGCCACTTGTCATGTTGCAAGCCTTTGGAAACGCTGGTCATTGTTGGGTTTAAAAGCTTTTAGGAATAACTGAGTTAGTTGAAGCAGCTTAATATACAGGCCAGCCAGTCAGAGGTTGGGCGTGGAGAACAAATAACTTCTGGTTCATATGGATAATAGATACAATATTTTATTTCTTCTGTGTCAGGAAACTTGGAATTGCAGGCAAGAGTAGTGAAGGAACCAGAATTGCAATTTTGTGGGGAAATAATGAGAAATGTCACTTCTGCAGAATGAAAACAGTGCAGAAAAAATGGAGATCAAAAGCGTTTCCGTGATAGCCTTGGAGGGAGCAAAAGCTTGGCATGCGTCCTGGAGGAGACCCTGGAGAGGGGTATGTGGCTCTCCGTCAGCTCTTTGCTGCGGAAAATTCACATTGTACTTGATTACAAAAGGAGGGAGCTTTTTAATCCTTATATCTTGTTCCTTCTTTTCCCTTTTTGGCTGGAGAGAATCTTAAATTGGCAGCACACTTAGCAAAATCCCCTACTTTTCTGTGCCTAAGTACTATTCTCTGCAGACCCAGTTGCTTTGTGCTGTTGTGCTGTTAGACAAGTCTGCTTTATTCTATTCCTCAGAATCGCTTTCCCTCCACCCCACCATCTTCCAAATGTCTCTTTTTCCCTATCTTCACTTCCCCCCCCCCCCCCCCCGCTTTAAATTGTTGCTGTGGACTTCAGGACTTCAATGCACAACAATTATGTTGTTGTTAGCAAAGATTCCCTCCCCTAAGAAGAGTCTCTTCACAAGTTAGTTAATGATGTTTTTATTAGCATATATGGTGCCCTAAGTAGCTTCTAATTACAATGCTTTGTGTGAATACCTTGGGTGGCTGCCAGCTTTCCTTTTTGACAGCTGAGGAATATTGTAGCAAATAGTCAGGGATTCTGAGGGCTGTGTTTCTAGGGCAGGAAAATTTATCTCTGTCCTTTCAAAATGTAGTGTGCTGAACTGTGGGATTTTTAATTTTGTTTAATAGAAGGAGCCTCAATTACTTGAGCCCAATTTAAATTTGATAGGAATTACCCTGAGCTGTGTGCTTACGTTATTAACTGCTCCATTTCAAGTCAAAGGCTGACTGAAGGAAGATCTACAGCGCTTTATAGCCCCCTCTTTTCTGAGTGCCAGTAGCTGTCCTGGTGATTCTAAGACACAAGTTAGGGTGTGAAAACTGCTCCTTGAGAGGAGGACTTGTCCTTGCTGCAGTCTTGACTGGGGCGTATTCCCTAAACTGAGTAACCTAATCACTGAGTTTATGGATGTGTCCTGAAACCAGACTATCCTGAGAGGAGTTAACACCAACTATCAATGACTTGAATTAACGTCTGCAGTCAAGACTTAGCGTGGATTTTGCCCTACAGTTTTATATAGGTGATGCTGATGATAGCCCAGAGCTCAGTCAGCATGGAGGTGGCTCCTTGTATATGGTGCAAGGACCTCTCTGCAGTGAGCTACTGCTCTTGCGTGCTGCAGAGGTCAGCAGGTGACTTGGTAGTATGTGTGTTTGTGAGCGCACCAGTGGCATTAGAGCTAGGAAGTGAATATGTTATTTTTGCTATTTTTAGAGTGAGCATAAAGCATGGTAAATTGTTTAAGAGATGCGCGTGGATGTGTTGTTTCTTAAGCACCAACAAACTTGCAGCATGTATAGCAAAGTGTTGGAATTTTTCCCTTCTTCGCATTTAGAATTTTTACATATTTGAGAAAAATGCTCATTCTTCTTAAATTTGGCTAGCAAGAAATACACGTAGGTCAGAAGCAGATCTTTCCTGATTTATTCAGCTTGCAAATCCTGAGG